AAACATTTAAAATTCCCCCAATATGCTTAAACCAATAGTAAGTAGCAACTGAAAACTCAATTTTAAGATAGAATATTGGTCCATAAAATATAATCGATTTCGCAATTTATGATCAAATTTTATTGCTAATGCCGGCTGTTCCTGGTTAAGCTTGATCTAGTCTAGTCCATTATTTCTTTCCGCTCCCCGAGACCTGCTGTTAAAATATATCTTTATTTCAGTAACAGCTGCTAAAGCATTATTTTTCACAGGCATTTTTCTTTCCAGTATTGACCGGAGAAAACACCTTAACTTTCTTTCAGTATATTTTAAATCATAAACTGTAAAAATATGCTTTCATTTGAACTTATGATGCAAAAAAACTTTATGTGGAGAGTTAAAAATGCTATTAATTCCAGCATTAAAATAACCTTTCCTCCAATGTTAAGTTATTTTCAAATTTGTTCATACATAATGAACTTTGAAAATTATTCTCTCAAAATATGTAACACTTCTCTAAATAGTTGTCCCATAAATATTGGTACAAACTTTGAACAGAGGAAGAGGTATAAACTTTGAAGGGTGCATGAAAAGGATGGAGAAATGCACAGCACCCCATAGATGGACATACGATGACCGGAACATGGTATGCCGCAATGGGAGCGTACGATACTTGCCTATTGTGAACTGTATCTTAGAGTGCCTAAGAACATAGGCTTTTATTTATCTAAATTAACTTAATTTCATTTTTTATAAAAGACATTCTTGTAAGTTGCATCCATATATTCTTAACACTTTCAGCTCCTCCTGGACACATATGTCCCACAGGAGAAGACACCATTGGGACATATGTGTCCTAACCAAAAAACTAGGTGACACGCATGTATCTCAGCCCTTCCAATAGTCCAAATAGTTAATTTTTAATTTTATTTTGGCAGATTATTGTTATTTTTACCTTATTTCATCTCTTTAAAATCATAGTTTGTATTTTTATTCGAAAAGAAAAAACTGGTCTTGAAAGGGTAAATATTATTGGTTTTATGGAAATTTAATTATTTGGTGTCTAACTCAACAAACCCAGCCAATCATTAAATTAAAATAAAAGCGACTATTTCTAAGCCTTTTAAATGAACTTTTCTACAATAATTGTTAGAAGATACAGTTTTAACGTGAAATTAAGATATTTTAGATAATAAAAGTACCGGCGAAAATGCAGATGAAATATGCGTTCATAACAGGGAAGAAACCTAGTGGCGTACTATGATATTTTCGGTCATGGATTGTCGTGTAATTCCCCATCCCTTTGATGCGCCCTACCTCCTTTTCTGGTTAGTTTCAATATTTATGTGATAGCATGTATATTTTATAAATAGCTCAATGCCTGTTGCTTGTCTTTGTGCAGGATAAACAAAAATCATAAATATCAATTGTGTATTTGTTCCTCAAGAAGAAGAAGATCACAAATACCCACACATGTGACCTATGATGTCAGCGCCAAATGATCGTTTGTAAGCAAAATAACGAGTTCTCAACATAATTTAGAATGTTAATTAACGTTAAGTTAATTGAATATAGCGCCGTATCACATATCGTATTTGTTGAAATATAATTCTTTCCCGTCTATGTCTTTTACTGTACTTGGCTGTTTTGTGCACCTGGCAACTTTGATGTTAGTTCATTTATGTTCTACATGCCTTAATGCTTGTCTTTCTGCAAAGAAAGAAATATATAGTGAAAAAATTGAAATCTTTGAGAAATAATCTTTGTGTAAGAATATAGAATGTGTCACTTGAGAGAGTTGATACTTGGCGGGCAACGCTTACTCGATATAGAATAGAAAGAATAATTACTAACGTAAACAAATGTCACGTTTCAACAACCAATCAAAATTGAGATACCCACACTACGTCACTTGCAAGTATCCCATTGTTGCTTTTTTTCACAAAAAAGGGCATGCATAAGAATGGTTGAAGATTCATCTTCTCTTCTCCCCTAAGCTAAAGGAATTCATTTGTTTTCATTTGCTAAATTCATCATAAATTATGTTGTAATTATTGTTTAACATTTCTCTTTTATTGCAAAACTATAATGTACAGTGTTCTAAAATAACAGTATTAAAAAAAAAGGGCTATCCTGAATAACTTTTGATTTAATGATCGAATCATCACGTTCCAAGAATGAATCTTAATGGTTCAAAGGGGTGACTTCAATGATATGTATTCAATATACTAATTAATTAGTTCAAATGGTATTTTAACACTTTCACACCGGGGTGACCCACCGGTGGGCCACGCTAGATTTTCTCATCGGGCGGCGCACCGGAGTAAAAACTGGTAACAAATAAATTTCATTTTTCAGTTTTTTTCCGGGAATAATAAAAATCCATAACTACCAATTGTTTTTAACGGATGCAATTTTTATATTGAATTGCTTCTTCACCGTGATAAATTTTCTTATAGTGAACTGTCATTGTTGAGAATAGATTAACTCTTCCCGAATATTATCTAATATTGAAATAGATCTTCTACCAGTATTTTCTCTTTTCCGTCCCGCCTCCAGGCGCAACACCCGGCGTGAGCGTGTTAAGTTACAAAATCGGACACAAAAACGTACTTTCTCTCAATAAACATACCTTTTTTTTAAAATCTATTCGGAAATATAAGAATAGTCGCAATCGGGGAAATATGTACCCAATATACCCTTGAAATTTTGTACCAAATCCAGAAGACAAGGGAACTCCTGGATCAAGTATTGGGCGAAATTTGTCTTCGTGGAGAAATTTTAGATAGAACTAACCTGCATTTGCGTTACATGGAGAGGGAAATCACGAAAATCTTCCTCTGTTAGCCTGATAGCAAGGGGACTCTAACCTATGATCCGTCTACCACTGAGGATATTTTACGTCAGCAGTGTGGGTCGGTTTGAGCCCGAAGTGGAATTCGTATCGACTGGCCATCGTTGGGATTCGAACCCAGTTCACCTCATTGGAAGGCGAACGCTCTATCTCCTGAGCCACCACGGCTCCATAATATTGCTATTTCTCAGAAAAGGCGAGTTCCTTCGTGAATAATTGATAAGACAGTATTCCGCACCATAGCTCTGTTTATGTTCAAAATTTCTACAACCTTTTTAAAACGTGTCGAAATAAATTTAAATAATTACTTCGTAGATAAGTTCGTTTTTTTTCGGTAAAAAATACAATGTTATTCTAAATAAATAATTAACGCGTAACTAATTATTCAACAGTACTTAAATTATTACTTAAGACAACCTAACAAAAGGAGTCTAAATAAATACTTAGCGTATTCACCTTATTCTCGACCACGTTTCATGTTCTCCATGGTAGGAGGTAGTATTTGTAAAGGTTGTTTCAACTTCCGGTATAAGTTTCAAGTAGTAGAATTTCTGCTAGTGAAAACCAAATTGCGTAAATCCGCATCTTAACGATCATGTAATTGCATATCAATTTAGGATAATTTCCCAAAGCACTTTTTTTTATATCTTTGTATGATATTTTAAAATATGAGGAACACATTTTTTTACAAAAAACACAGCACAAAGATAAAATTAAGAAAAACTAAGTATTACGAGTATAAACAAACAAATCCGGAGACTCAAAAAAAGAAAAAGTCTCTTTAATGCTATGACGCCAGAAGAAGACCTCAAGACTTCCGGTAGCGTTTGCTTGTTTCTTTAGGATAGATGGTGAATAATTAATTCTTTAACACTACTTAAATTATTTCTTAAGACAACCTAACAAAATGAATAATAGTGTTTCCAATATATAGAGAAATACTCGAGTTTATGATACCACGCATGATAAAAATATACATAAATTATAACGCTATAAGAACCTAATAATTACTTTTTAAAAAAAATTAATGCCAATGAATCAAAACAAAAGGCATTAAGTTTTAAAAATAATCCATTTTTCTTTATAATTTTGTAAGTATTTTTATATAAGTTGAAGCAGCCCCAAAAGTATTTCTGCAATTCTTTGAAATTAAGATTTTATCTGTGCAATAGCATTTTTTTTTATTGTTATTTACTTCAAATCTTTGATGAATATCTATTTTCCTGTCTCAAAGTTATTTCAGTCTAAAATTGAACTCGAATTTACCTGATTATAATTTCACAAATCAGTCATTTTCAATGAAATTCGCCTTGCTTCTTACTGGAGTTCTTTCCTTAGTTGAGTTCTTACTAGTGTTGTACTTACGATTCTTTCCTTACTAGAGTTTTTACTAGAGTTGTACTTACTAGAGTTGTACTTACTAGAGTTCTTTCCTTACTAGAGTTCTTACAAGAGTTGCACTTACTAGAGTTCTTACAAGAGTTGCACTTGCTAGAGTTCTTTCCTTACTAGAGTTCTTACTAGTGTTGTACTTACGATTCTTTCCTTACTGGAGTTCTTACTAAAGTTCTTTCCTTACTAGAGTTCTTACAAGAGTTGCATTTACTAGAGTTCTTTCCTTACAAGAATTCTTACTAGCGTTGTATTTACGACTCTTACCTTGTTAGAGTTCTTACTAGAGTTGTACTTACTTGAGTTCTTTTCTTACTAGAGTTGTACTTACTTGAGTTCTTTTCTTACTAGAGTTCTTACTAGAGTTGTACTTATTAGAGTTCTTACTAGAGTTGTACTCATTAGAGTTCTTACTAGAGTTGTACTTATTAGAGTTCTTACTAGAGTTGTACTTACTAGAGTTGTTCTTACTAGAGTTCTTTCCTTACTGGAGTTCTTTAATTACTAGAATTCTTTCCTTACTAGAGTTTTTAGAGTTGTACTTACTAGAATTCTTTCCTCGCTATTCTTACTAGAGTCGTAGTTACTAGAGTGGTACTTACTAGAGTTATTTACTTCTCATACTAAAGTTTTATAGGTTTAGTATTATTTTTATACTTAAATGATTTCATGCTGGAAACCCCAAAATTATTAAATGTCATTAAAATAGTTTTAATTACTATGCTAGAAATATTTAATGATGATACAATATCTGTAAAAAAATTTCTTTTTACAGTCAATCCAGACCTATCGACTTTGTACTTCCGAGCATCCCTCCTGCTCTTGCAGCCATGGCTAGCCCAGCAGCAGCTGATACAGTCTCTTTATCCTCCAGTGAATCATCCGACATACCTTTATGGGCTAGATTGGCACTCCTTGAGCCAGGTAATATAATTAACTCCTTAATCATGCTGATTCGGAATGTTTACTTAAGATTCTATAAGATTTGTTAAAAACATCTTTATACTGCACCCTGTAGCTTACAGCGGGATGAGCAAAGAAATTTTAAACTTACTGGTATCATAATATGCAACACTTTCTACATGTTGAAAAAAATTTAGATAGTACATAAGCTCACAGAACAAAAAATTAGTCACACCAGTGCGCAAGCACCGATGAATCGTTAGATGTCGTTAGATGCGCAGTGGTCAAGTAACGTGCGCACTGCCTCAGAGTGATCAAAGGCAAGTAGTCATCATTGAGATATTTTTGTTTTAAGCGAAAATTGTGTGTAAATGTGGGTAAATGTATGGAAGTGACAGAGTAACAGAAAAGGAAAATTGTGTTTGGCCGTGCCCATGTTCATACGGTGAATGAAGTTGCTGGATTTGTTGGTGTTTCAATGCGGACCGTTCAACGTGTCTACAAGCAGTGGTGTAATACACGTGGTCCCGAAAGACGACGTCAGAATTGTGGTCGGAGAAAGGATCCTGCATGAAAGGGACCGGAGACGTGTTTCCAAACTTGTCAATCAAAATCGCCTCCAAACCAGAAAAAATGCTTCAGTTAGTGAATGACGGTCCATCCTAGCCTGTTAGTGAGAGAATATAACGAGGAGAGCTGCATGCAATGAACATTTGAAGTTAAGCACCCAGTAAGAGGCCATTGCTCACGCAGGCACATAAAACTGCTCGACTTCAGTGGGCTGGAAATCACCGAATGTGGACGGTTGCTGATTGGCGGAATGTGAATGACGTGTCTGACGAATCACGTTTGTGCTATTATTCAAATGACGCACATTGTCGACTGCGCCGAAGAACAGATGAAGCATTTCATCCAGACTGTGTGCAAGGTTCAAGCGAGGTGACTCTGTCATGTTTTGGAAGTGTTTTTCTTATTGGCCCCTCTTACTGAGGTGGCCACTAACATAAACCAACATGTTTATTTCATCATTCTGAATGATCAAGTGTTGTCTTTGAGTCAACATCTTCATGAATAGTATGCTGTCGATAGCCCTATTTTTCACGATGACATCAGCGAAGTTCATCCGGCAGGGAGAATATGTGACTGGTTTTATGAACAATCGAACACTCAATTACATCTCAAATGGCTTCCAAAATCACCTGACTTCAACTCCATTGAAAATTTGTGGGACATGTTGGAACAACGGGTAATGATCAAGATGTCGAATTGAGCATCCTCGCAATTTGGTGGATTTGCACTATCAAATAATCAGCGAGTTGCTTAAGCTGGAGTCTGCAAAACCTGGTGGACTCACTTCCTAACCGAATACAGGCGGTTATCAAATCCAGAGCCGTTGTCACACGTTACTAAATTATATTTTTTATGATTTCTCTAATTGTCACTAATTTTTGTCCGGTGTGCTTAATATCTTCTAAAAATCAAATTGGCGCATCTATATTTCTACAGAATCCTTATACTAAAATTTTATGGTTTATATTAATAAAATCCCTTGTGCAAAGACACTCTAAGAAACGGTTCACAGTAGGTAAGTATCAAGCGTGCCCATAGCGTCGTACAAAGTTCCAGTCATCATATGATCATCAATGGTGTGTTGAGTAATTCTTCATTTTTTTTTCATGTACTCTTCCACCTCTCTTCAAAGTTTGTACCAATATTTATTACTCAATTATAAAGTGTCATAATATGTAATATCTTCTATGATGAAAGCAAAATTGATGCAGCAGATAGTATCTCATAAAAATCAATTTAAACAATTCCTAAATAATCATAATATAACAATCAATAATAATCAATTCCTGAAAACAAATATTCTCAATCAATCAGAATGGTTGTACTAAAATTTTATTATTTACTTTCACTCTAATTTTATTTTATATAACGTAAACTAATTCGTAGAATCACAATGATAAATATCAAATTATTATAATCTCACAATATTCACTATATAGTACGATATTTTAGTCGATTTTCTGAAGCAAACTTCTCTACCCTTAGGAATATTAAAAATCAAATTAGCTCTGAAAAATAAACAGTATTTTCAGAGCAATAACAGTATATTTTCAGAAAAATAATGAATATTTAAATAAACAGATGCCATGTCGAACAAATTAAAACAAATTTCTATTGTTACCGAACAAAATCTTTTCCTTTTTTTTTCAGAAGTCAATTTAATTATTTTTCCAATTTATTTTAAAATGGAAACTCTTAAAAAGTAGAGAGAAGATCAAAATGAAACTTAAATCTACAATTAAAGTAAAAGAGTTAGGTCGTATGTTGAGATTCTATTACCCACTATTCCTTCATACTCATTTTTTAGTTTCGAAGTCAAAAATATTCAAACGGCTTTGAAAAGATCTTTGATTTTTAAAAGTGTTGTGCTTGATAACTTTTACCTTTTATTTACTGTAATATTTTTATAAATATAGTAATATAGTCTTTTGTTTGCTAATAAAGCACTAATGTTCTTTTATTACAAAATTCTAATTTATTTGTTACAACGCTATTTGTAAAATACTTTAAAATTATTATTGTAGCGCAATTATAATAAAATTTTATTACAATGATATATATGTATATATAGTATATTATATATATGCATAGAAAAGAGCACGAAACAAAGAAAATTAATAAGTTTTATTTACTGCACATGAGCTGCAAGTATATAGAACTCATAAAATAAGTTAAAAATATCGAGAAAACATAAAAAATAATAAGGATTAATGAAAAGAGTGGGGAAAAATTATTAAAATGAAATATTAGAAAAAAATTTTTAAAAATATATGTTAAAAAGAAACAAAAAAAAAGAGGAAAAGACATAACCTCTTCATCAGCTCGCACGATTATATTAGCAGAAAGGAATGCTATCTAATATAGTATACGAGTTAATATAGTTTCATAGCCAAATCAAAATGTATATATATATAAATATATATTTTGCTTTAGCTATATATATCGCTTAGATTCCTCGTCTTGCATAATTCACATCACTCATTCCATAAGTTTATTTTTATTGTTGACACTTCTTTTTACAGTAATGTTTATCACATGAGATTCTCGAATATTTTGCGCTGAATATTTCATTTTGATTCTTATTTGTTCATTTTAGGTTACCCTACTTCTTCTTTTTTAATTAAATATTTGGGATAACGAAACTGAATTCACTGTTAGAATTTTCATGTTAGAAATATAGTTGAATAACCAGCAGCATACTGTAGATCCAATTAACCATAAAGTTTACGGTTAGGTACATTTTTCACCATTTCAATTTTGAAACCGTTTACAACTGGTACGGTTAAAAAAAATTAAGAGTTGCAACCCAGTTGCTAGTTGTAAATGGTTGCTGTTGTTTCTAATACCACTTGCCAGATAGAAAAGTTAAATTTGCTTGCTGAGACCAAGCAAATTTAAGGCAGAGTGTGCGTTTCTTGTTTTTCAGTGGCGCTATCCATGGCCAAGAATTCGACTTCTGCCACACCATACGTCGCACCCGTTTATAGGGCGGATGCATTCATACATCTCTTCATTCATCCACAGATCGTAATTTTGACCTGAATCAGAGAGCGATCGATCTCCAATCCAGTAACCCCAGAGGTATTGATTTGTTATGGGAACATGGAGGTCTTTTGCGACTCGACAAATTTAACGTGCATCAGTCACTTTACTACACGGTCTTCGGCAGGTGGGGTTCGAACCCACGAGCTCCCGGACATGGGCTGTAAATAGTTACAAAACTATGCGGAACAAATTTCTTTACCATTTTTAACCATTTATAACTAACATAATGTCGAAACCGTAAAAATGAAATTTAAATTTATATTGGTATTAGATTATGTAAAGCTTTTCGTTAGGTAATAAACACCGGAGTTATGTTGGGGTTGAAATACCTTCTTTTTTTTGTCAAATGAACTGTGGAATAGAAGTTTTTCTGGTGATGACAGATATCATGAGGGATACTAAATTTTTTGTGTTAAGCAACTCTGTGGAGCTGTCATCTATGCATAAATATGAGTTTCGTATTCCAGTAGCGCAGGGGCACAGATTGGAGAGTGCAGAACTTTGAAAACTCGTCATGATTTTTTGGAATGGAATAGCCTGGTCGGTAGGGTGCTGGGTCCATGTCCGAGAGTTCGTGGGCTCGAACCCCGACTCCCCGTGTAGTTGGTGACTGATGTCGAGCCTCAAATCCCTCCATGTTCCCATAACAAATCAATACCTCTGGGGGCACTGGATTGGAGATCGATCGTTCTCTGATTCAGGTCAAAATTACGATCTGTGGAAGAATGAATGGATACATGAATGGGTCCACCTTATACACAGGTGTGGCGTATGATGTGGTAGAAGTCGAATTCTCGGCCATAGATGGCGCCACTGACAAACAAGAATCGCTTAATCGTCCTTAAATTTGCTCGGTTTCACCAAGCAGGCTTGCCCGTGTGGCAAGTGGCATTGAAGCCAACCAACCAAAAATACTGTAGTGTCAATGCAGCGATTCTAATTGAAGTTCAGCTGGTCATAAGATTGGCAGATTAACCCTCTCGGCTATAGTATGTAGCAAGGAACTAAGAGGTTTCATAAGGTGGGCCTAGTTTGGGCCGTATTCTGTGAAAATAGTTTTTAAAAGAGTTTAAATGCCATATTTTTTTATGATTTGTTGACTCTTTTGGTCAAATAAGGTAAAATAAAAATTAAATAAATCGTTATTCAACCATTTTCTGAAAAAAAATTTCAATACTGTACAAAAGCATTGACATTCGTGTAAAACATCTTTTCACACAACATCAATAAAAATAAATGTAATTTAGTGATCTTTTTTTACTGAATTAATTATTTAATTTAAGACTGGACCTAATCCGTAACCTTTAAAATCTTTATTTGAGTAACTGGTCTGCTCTAGGTGTTTAAATTAATTGAATAAATTTCAACAATAAAAACTACCCATTTATGAACAAAATAGCTTCTAT